CCGCGCTCGCCCCTCACCATTGTCCGGTCCGGGTGGGCCAGGCGGCAGCGGCGGGGGCGTCCGGAGGCTTCGAGGGCAGCAACGGCGTCGCGAGGGAGGCAGAGCCGCACCAGCCGGGACGCACCGAGGGCCTCTTCACGGAGCCTCAAGGCGCGCGCCGGATCCCTCCGCCAACGGCCGCCTCCGGCCTCGCCCCGCCGCGGCCTCCTCCGCCGGCGCCCCGCCCCTTCGGCGCCCGCCGAGCCCAATCCGCTCTCGCCCCTGGAGGCGGCCCCGCCCACTTCCTCCTGCGGGCGGGGAGAGGGCCGAGGGGACTACTTTTCCTCCCCTCGCTCGCTCCTCGCGCTTCTTTCCCGGTCCCGCCCCTCCCCTGCAGCCGCCTGTCGGCGGAAGGACACGGCATGGCGAGCTCGCCCTTGTTTCGCGCGCTCCCATTGGCTGCGGGAGGAGGCGCAGGATGAGACTCCCGCGGCCATTGGTCGCCTCTCACCTGCAATGCGTCAAAATTGGAGCGGGCCATGTGGAGGAGGAAAAAAGGGGGACGGAGGGAAGGAACCAAACGGAAGGGTGTGGGTGGAGGAAGAGGAGGAGGAGAGCCCGGGAAGCCGCGTTTTGCGGCGTGGTGGATTGCGGAAAAGAAGAAAAACATCTCAGTGTTTTTAAAATGGTATGGCCCTCCCCCTCCCGGTCACGAATAGATCGCTCCAAAAATAGGGGCGTGGTCCACAGGCCACCAGGCAGGATAGCCCCGCCTCTTTCCAAAAGCCGACATTACGCTCAAGATGGGCCACGCCCTCCTTTGGCCACGCCCAGTCACTGCAAGTCACGCCTTTCATCGCTCTGGATTTCTCTACTTGCAGGCACTGCAAAAAAAAAACGTCCTGCAACGAGGGCTGGAAACTCTACCTGTTGGATTGCCACCTGCTAAGTCCTTGGGAACATTGGCTGGACCTTGAACTCTTGATTCATCCAGTTCAAATATCAATTCCCAGCCCCCCCCCCAATCTGAACATACTGGAACAGGGGTCCAGTGGCCATGCTGGCTAAGGATGATGGGGCTTGGAGTCCAGTCTTGCTGGACTGTATCTCTGGGCAAGCTGGGCTAGGATGATGGGCGGGATGGTTCTACGGTCCTTCTTGGAGACGCTAAGAGATTGCACCGGTCTGAGCTGGAGAAGCAGGCGGGCTCCCTCCCATCCAGGTGCAAATGCCGGCTGACCTGGTATTAATCTTGACCCTGTTAGGAAGGGCCAGAGAGGTCACGTGGCATATGGGCAGTCCTCAATTGAAGACCACAAATGATCCCAGAATCTTCGGTCGTTGAGCTAAACAGTCATTAAGTGGGCTGTCATGCGATTGCTCGGCTCAACGACAGCAATCTCGGCTCTCCCCATTGCAGTCGTTAAGCAATAACCTATAGGTATAGGTCAGGGGTAGGCAACCTTGGCTCTTTTATGACTCGTGGACTTCAACTCCCAGAATTCCTGAGCTAGCCATGCTGAGGGGAAAGGGCAAGGTTTCCAAGCTGAGCCATGCTGGCTGAGGAATTCTGGGAGTTGAAGTCCGCAAGTCATGAAGGGACCAAAGTTGCCTACCCCTGGTATAGATTCTCCTGCTCAAGCAGGGGGCTGGACTAGAAGACCTCCAAGGTCCCTTCCAGCTCTATTCGATGATAACCTGGGGGTATGTCCTGAGAAGCCCAGCGCAGGTGACAGGGACCGCTGGTGCATGGAAACCCACCGCAGGCTGAGAGTCCTGGGCATTCAACCAGCCCTACCACACCTGGGACGTTCAGAAGCATGGACTTCAACTCCCAGGATCCCCCAGCCAGCAATTCTGGGAGTCAAAGGCAACACACCTTAACAGTTGCCCAGGTTGTCAAACGCGGCTTTAACTAACCGCTCTCAGCTTGGTGCTCCAGGCTCAAAAGATGACAACTGACCTGGGAAAAGTGACTTACAACAATCATCACACACACCCCACGCCTTTCTTCTTCCATATCTGCCGAGCGATCACAGGGCAAGGGAGGTGGCTGGCTGGGCAGCTTACCTGCCCGTACAGGTTGCGAGCTGTTCAGCCGCCCCTGCCCCAAACTTCTCACAAGCTCCGAGCCCGGGGCAAGGAGAGGCAGGCTGCAGCCTGTCTTCTCCCCCTCCATCCCGGTTGGCTGGCACCAGCCACGCTGGCGAAGGAAGTGGGCGAGAGGGAGCAGAACAGGTGAGGGGAGGAACAGGTGAGCCAAAGAGCCTCCGGAAGTTTCTCCTGCTGGGAAGAAGACTCATCCTGCCAGCCTCAACCTCTCCAAAGCTGCGGGCCCCGAGATGCCAGGGTGCCCTCCAGGAGCCCATAAAATGCAGCTGCCAAGCAGGCGGGCAGAGCCAGAGACGGGCTGTGCTGACGTTTGAGCTGCCAGCCTCATCTGGCCTCGCCTTGCCGGCCCCCTCTTGGCAAAGATCCCCACGCAGGTAGTCCTCGAATTACGACCACAGCCAAGCCCAAATTTGCTAAATGAGACGTTTGTTAAGTGAGGTTTGCCTCATTTTACGACCAGTTGTTAAGGAAATCCCTGCAGTTGTTAAGTTAGTAACACGGTTGTTAAGTGAATCCAGCTTCCCCATTGCTAGTCCGAAGGTCACAAAAGGGGATCACGTGACCCCCGGGACATTACAACCGTCATAAATACGAGTCAGTTGCCACGCAGCTGATCCCAGGATGTGAGGATGCGGCAACGGTCGTTAAGTGTGAAAAAGGATCCTAAGTTGCTTTTTTCAGTGCCGATTGTAACTTCGAATGAGCCTGAGGGACGCTGGTCTCCGTACATTATGGGGAAGTTCAAAAAGGCATTAATCCACTACCCAGTTCAAAATTGTGCTGCCCACCCAGTTCTTTGCCGATGCCTCATGTGACACCCCAAACTTGCGGTGGGGCGCAAAACAGCAGCCGTGAAATATTCCCTCGTGATGCTTTCGCCTCACCCCAAACACGGGACGTTTGACTCAAAACACCAAGGGCAAAAAGACACAGAATATTACAGTATATTACAGCGCAAATCACATTCCGTCTACCCAAGAGGTTTCTTTCTGCAAAACAAGGGGGGGTGCCTCCCCCACACCCCTTCCAGGCACCCTCTCGCTGAATTGGACTACAACGCCCCATCCTCCCCAGCCGCTTCAAATCGCAGCCCCTGAGGTTGCTGCCTGGGATTGGGGTGGGAAGCCACGGATCTTAAGTGAGGGGTGGTCAAGGGGTATGGGGGGTGCCCCCCTGCCTTTTTATCCCATTTGGGGAGGGGGGGTATAATCGCTTGCCAGATGTAGCCCATCGATGGCCAGATGTGCCAGTTCAAATTATTTCCAGAAATGAGGCGATTATTTGCTCTTGCCAAACGCAGCTTCTTTGGGCAACGTCCTGTCCTCTGAGCAGCCGTAAGGGACCCCAGAGACCCTCCCTCACCCTTCGGGTCTTTCCCTCCTGCAAAGAGCCCGGCAGCTAGACCAGTGGAACATCTGCCTGGGGACACAGGAAATCTTGCAGGTGGGGCCTGCCCATTCTGGAGATGGCCGCTTTCGGAGAGGAACGTAAGGAAGACGAGGATCAGGACCACCCCTGTCCGCAGAAGAAGTGCCTCCAAAGTTTCACACTCCTCCGCCATCCCCTTCTTGTCAGAGTGGAGGCCTTGCTAAAACCGGGCCGATGTTCAACCGGTTGAGCTTGGCCCTCTCCTGGTTGGAGATGTCCACCTTGGGCAAACTGGTAGAAGGAGGCGCACCGTCGGGCAGCCCTGCCACCTTGGCCGTGTCACCGGTCTCGCCCAGCCCTCGCTCGGCCTCCCCCTGGGTGAGGTTGTGGATGAGATGGATGGCGTCCGGCCGCAGGCTGTTGTTGGCGGGGGGCTCCGTTGCACCGAGGACTCTCGGCAGAGACCGGCGTTGAACGCAAAGCAGCAGCAGCAGCACCAAGACGGGGAGCACCCCGGCAAGGAGGAGAACCGGTGGAAGGACAGCAGAGAAGAGGGCGGCGTTGGTCTCTCCTAAAGGGAACCAGGTGTGAAGAACAGAGTAACAGAGTCAGGAGGGGCCCTGAAGGTCTTCTAGTCCAGAGGTCCCCATCCTTTTGGGCACCAGGGACCACCAGTTCCGTGGAGAGAGGTTTTTCCGCGGACTGGGGTGTGTGTGGTCCCTTCCAACATCATCATCATCATCATCATCATCATCATCATCATCATCATCATCATCATCATCATCATCATTATTATTATTATTATTATTATTATTATTATTATTATTATTATTATTATTATTATAATGGATGGGCCTTTGCTTGTTTGTGTGGACCCTTTGTTGTGTAGGGAATTCTGGGACTTGAAGTCCACCCATTTTCCAGTGGCCAAGGTTGACAAACGCTGTCTTAAAAGATCGGCATTAATGCCCAGACCTGCCAAAGCTGCAACCTTCAAACATCTGAGAGACCCCCCCTCCCCTCAGGACCCACCTTTGCACCCCTCGCCCAAGCAGGGCTCTTGCAGGATCTGACACGTGGCATCTTCAGGGCACAAGCACGTGTAGCTTCCTCCTCCATCTTGGCAGATGGCACCTTTGGGGCAAGGATTCGGAGAGCAGAGATTGGCAGAGACCTGCGGGAGAAAGCCGGGGGGGGGGAGGGAGGGAGCGGCAGGGAGAAAGAGGGGGGGATATTCAGAACTGCCGGAGACTATTTGTGAAAAGTTGGTGTGTGTGTTTGTGTGTTCTCCATTGTTTTCCTCTTCCCGCCCTCTCCACTCCTGTGCATTATGAGAGCCAACACGGATTATGGGGCCTGGGAAAGCCCACCGGTCTCCATGGGGAGAAGTCATTCAGCACTGCCTCACAAGGAGTCTAGTGGTGAAGGCACCAGGCTAGGAACCAGGAGACGGTGAGTTCTAGTCCTGCCTTAGGCACAAAAGCCAACTGGGTGACTTTGGGCTAATCACCAGGAGATGGAAAGTTCTAGTCCCACCTTAGGCATGAAAGTTTGTTGGGTGACTTTGAGCCAATCCCCCTCTTTCAGCCCAACCCACCTCATAGGGCTGTTGTGTGGAGAAAACAGAAGGAGAAAGGATCATTAAGTGTGTTCTCCACTTAGGGTTATTTGTAAAAATAACACAGGCAGCATAGAAATAAAAATAAAAAATAAATAAAATAAAATAATAAAATAAAATAAATAAAATAAAATAAAATAATAAAATAATAAAATAAAACTAATAAATAAATAAATAAAATAAAAAATAAAATAAAAAACAAAAAATATAATAAAATAAAATAAAAAATAAAAAATAAAATAAAATAATAAATAAAATAAATAAAATAATAATAAAATAAAATAAAATTAAATTAAAATAATAAAATAAAATAAATAAAATAATATAAAATAAAATAAAATAATAAAATAAAATAAAAAAATAAAATAATAAAATAATAAAATAAAATAATAAATAAATAAAATAAAAAATAAAAATATAATAAAATAAAATAAAAAATAAAATAAAATAAAAAATAAAAAATAAAATAAAATAATAAATAAAATAATAAAATAAATAAATAAAATAAAGTAAAATAAATAAAATAAAATAAAAATAAAAAATAAAATAAAATAAAATAATAAAATATAAAATAAAATAAAATAATAAAGCAAGGACCCTCCCCTGACACAGCTGTACAATTTCTGGGACCCTGCTGAGTTTCCACTCCAGAGAAAGCAATTACCTGGCACCACCTCCCTCCAAAGCCCGGTGGGCATCTGCAGAAGAAGGTCTGGTTTTTGGCCTGCTGGCACTGGCCGCCGTGCAGGCAGGGGGCCTCTTGGCAGGAGCCCTGTTCGGTCTCACATTCGGCACCGGTGTAGCCTGGTTGGCACAAGCAGGTCTGCCTGTCGCCCTCCATCTGGGGGGAGAAGGGAGGAAAAGAGGGTGGGGGGGTCCGAGGAGTGAGCAGAGTGGGACGCAAGCAGTCCTCAACGTACGGCCACAATTGAGCCCAAAATGTAGGTTGCTAAGTGAGACGTTTGTTAAGTGAGCCTTGCCCCACTTGACAACTTTTCATGCCACGGTTGTTAAGGGAATCAGGGCGGTTGTTCAATTAGTCACACGGTTGTTAAGTGAATCTGGCTTCCCCATTGACTTTCCTTGTCAGAAGATCGCAAAAGGGGATCACTGGGAACCTGCAACCGTCATAAGTACATGCCAGTTGCCAAGCATCTGAATTCTGATCACATGACCGTGGGGAGGCTGCAACGGTCGTAAGTGTGAAAAATGGCCCTTTTTTCTGTGCTGTTGTAACTCGGAACGGTCACTAAATGGACCGTTGTGAGTTAAGGACTATGTATAATGGTTCGAAGAGGGCAGGACTGGCTCTTCCACTAGTTAGGATGGCGCCCTGTCCTCAGTGGTCGTAGGAATTAGGAGGGGACAGGGCTGGGAGGACAGCATCACAGGTAGTCCTTGACTTACAACCATTCACTTAGTGACGGTTGCAAGTTACAAGAAAGCTGGAAAAATTGACTTAGGACTGGTCCTCGCACTTACGACCGTTGCAACATCCCCATGGTCACGTGATCAAAATCTGGGCAAATGGCATGTATTTAGGTCACGCGATCACCATTTGCGACCTTTCCCATGGGATTTTGACGAGCCAAGCCAATGGAGGAAGCTGGATTCGCTTAACGACCGCATGTTTCATTTAATGACCACAGTGATTTCTTTAACCGTGGCAAAGGAGGTCATAAAGTCAAGCGTCCCTGCTTTATTGGCATGAGTCGCTTTCAAACCACAATAAAAACATTTTTAATAAATCATAAAAAACTTATGACCGCAATGACTTCGGACTGAAATTCCAGGCTCCATTGCGGTTGTAAGCCGAGGACCAACTGTATGAATCGGCGGAAAGGAAAAGGCGGATACCAAACTGTAATCACTCTTATTATCCTAGGATGGGCAGATTCTCCCACACACCTACCTGACACGTGCCTCCGTTTTGACATCTCCCTGGGCACAAATTCATTCCTGTGCAGAAAGTGGATTTTAAAAAAAGGCAGGGTATTGATCAAAAAACATGAAAACTGCAGTTGAAGAACCGAATTCTTAGACTGTGAGACCCTGCCTTCGCCTTGAGGATTTCTAGATTTCTTTCGGGACTTGAGGCAGTGGACATAGCAGCCCCCCCCCCCAGACTCCCATCCTCCCATCTTTATCTGCTACAACAACCCTGGGAGGTAGTTTGGCTTAAGGGCAGAATTGACCCCAGATATCCCCAATTTTCATCCACTTTGTTTAAGAACCTTGTTTTCCAAACTTGGCAACTTTAAAATGGGTGGACTTCAACTCCCAGAATTCCCCAGCCAGCAAGGCTGGCTAGGGCATTGTGGGGGTTGAATTCCACCCATTTTCATGCTGGTTGGGGAATTCTGGGAGCGGAAGTCCACCCCTCTTAAAACATGCTGGCTGGGGGATTCTGGGAGTGGAAGTCCACCGCTCTTAAAACATGCTGGCTGGGGGATTCTGGGAGTGGAAGTCCACCCCTCTTAAAGCATGCTGGCTGGGGGATTCTGGGAGTGGAAGTCCACCGCTCTTAAAACGTGCTGGCTGGGGGATTCTGGGAGTGGAAGTCCACCGCTCTTAAAACATGCTGGCTGGGGGATTCTGGGAGTGGAAGTACACCCTTCTTAAAGCATGCTGGCTGGGGGATTCTGGGAGTGGAATTACACCCCTCTTAAAGCATGCAGGCTGGGGGATTCTGGGAGTGGAAGTCCACCCCTCTTCAAGTTGCCAAAGTTGAAGAAACCGCTTAAGGTGATCACGGAGGACAGGGAACCTAGGGCGAACTACAACTCCCAGCTGCGCCAGACACCACAGCTGGTCATGAAGGGTGCTGGGAAACGTAGTTTTGGAATGATGGCCTTGGAGGACTCGTTTTTTTCTGAATGACACAAAGAACTCGGGTGGCTCCGTGCAGATTTATTTCTTTCGTTTCCCCTTCCTGCAATCCCGGAATTAATCTGATCGACCCTCTTACTGATGCTGCAGTTTGCGCCCATCCAGCCTCGCAAGCAGTCGCAAAAATAGCTCCCAACGACGTTTTTACACGCCCGAGCGTGAAGGCACGGCTTTCTCTGGCATTCGTTCACATCTGGAAAGAAGAACAGAAGTAGAGAGAGCGCTCTTGCCAGCTGTTAGCTCCGCCCAGCTGTCTTGCTGCCTCCCCTCCTCCTCCTCCATTGGTCGTTAGCGTTCACAGGTACACTGCTCCTGAACATGGAAGCTCGCAGCTGGCAAAGACCTGAAACCCAAGACCCACTCTTTTTCTAAAAAAAACCCACCTCTTCCCAGTTGCCGTAATTGAGTCTTTTTAAGAAAAACGCATTCTCTAAATGCATTCAGATCTCAGGCAAGTCTTAGGCCTGGGGGGGCTGCTTCGCTTAATGACCAAGTGGCCGGTCCCAATTGTGGTTGCTAAATGAGGATTATCTGCATAGAAAAAAATGTTGTAGACATATTCACTTTATCCAATTTGTTAAGTTTGATTGTTAAGGCGGGGTCTTCAAACATGGCAACTTTCAGACTGGTGGACTTCAACTCCCAGAATTCCACAGCCGGCAAAGCCGGCTGGGGAATTCTGGGAGTTGAAGTCCACCAGTCTGAAAATTGCTAAGTTTTTGAAGAGCCCTGCTTTAAGGTGCCAGGGACTCAATGTTGCTTTTTAGGCAGCCTAGATGTGAAAATGTCCTATTTGTAAAATGGGAACCTACAGCGGAGATGAAAGACGTGCAAACAAGCACAATTGCACACATATTTCATTCTCCCTCCATTTCTCTGATTCGCCTTCGGAAAGATTCCCCACCGCAAGCTGGGCGCCACATACCGTCCTGGCACGTCTTCCCACGCCACCCGGGCGGACAGACACACTGCGGTCCGGACGGGGTCAGCCGGCAGCTGCCACCGTTGGCACAAAGCTCCAGAGGGCAGGGCAGTCTGGAAGTGGGCCGCGGAAGGAGGGCTGGGAAGAGAGNTTAAAACATGCTGGCTGGGGGATTCTGGGAGTGGAAGTCCACCCCTCTTAAAGCATGCTGGCTGGGGGATTCTGGGAGTGGAAGTCCACCGCTCTTAAAACGTGCTGGCTGGGGGATTCTGGGAGTGGAAGTCCACCGCTCTTAAAACATGCTGGCTGGGGGATTCTGGGAGTGGAAGTACACCCTTCTTAAAGCATGCAGGCTGGGGGATTCTGGGAGTGGAAGTACACCCATCTTCAAGTTGCCAAAGTTGAAGAAACCGCTTAAGGTGATCACGGAGGACAGGGAACCTAGGGCGAACTACAACTCCCAGCTGCGCCAGACACCACAGCTGGTCATGAAGGGTGCTGGGAAACGTAGTTTTGGTATGATGGCCTTGGAGGACTCGTTTTTTTCTGAATGACACAAAGAACTCGGGTGGCTCCGTGCAGATTTATTTCTTTCGCTTCCCCTTCCTGCAATCCCGGAATTAATCTGATCGACCCTCTTACTGATGCTGCAGTTTGCGCCCATCCAGCCTCGCAAGCAGTCGCAAAAATAGCTCCCAACGACGTTTTTACACGCCCGAGCGTGAAGGCACGGCTTTCTCTGGCATTCGTTCACATCTGGAAAGAAGAACAGAGAGAGCGCTCTTGCCAGCTGTTAGCTCCGCCCAGCTGTCTTGCTGCCTCCCCTCCTCCTCCTCCATTGGTCGTTAGCGTTCACAGGTACACTGCTCCTGAACATGGAAGCTCGCAGCTGGCAAAGACCTGAAACCCAAGACCCACTCTTTTTCTAAAAAAAACCCACCTCTTCCCAGTTGCCACAATCGAGTCTTTTTAAGAAAAACGCATTCTCTAAATGCATTCAGATCTCAGGCAAGTCTTAGGCCTGGGGGGGCTGCTTCGCTTAATGACCAAGTGGCCGGTCCCAATTGTGGTTGCTAAATGAGGATTATCTGCACAGAAAAAATTGTTGTAGACATATTCACTTTATCCAATTTGTTAAATTTGATTGTTAAGGCAGGGCTCTCCAAAAACTTAGCAACTTTCAGACTGGTGGACTTCAACTCCCAGAATTCCACAGCCGGCAAAGCCGGCTGGGGAATTCTGGGAGTTGAAGTCCACCAGTCTGAAAGTTGCTAAGTTTTTGGAGAGCCCTGCTTTAAGGTGCCAGGGACTCAATGTCGCTTTTAAGGCAGCCTAGATGTGAAAATGTCCTATTTGTAAAATGGGAACCTACAGCGGAGATGAAAGACGTGCAAACAAGCACAATTGCACACATATTTCATTCTCCCTCCGTCTCTCTGATTCGCCTTCGGAAAGATTCCCCACCGCAAGCTGGGCGCCACATACCGTCCTGGCACGTCTTCCCACGCCACCCGGGCGGACAGACACACTGCGGTCCGGACGGGGTCAGCCGGCAGCTGCCACCGTTGGCACAAAGCTCCAGAGGGCAGGGCAGTCTGGAAGTGGGCCGCGGAAGGAGGGCTGGGAAGAGAGAAGACCCAGGAGAAGCCTGTTGGTCAAGACGTTTGTGCAAATGCGTCCATCACAAGCGACAGAGGTCCAAAGAAGGTGAGAAAGCACCTCTGAGTTAGCGACAGTCAGGCATCTAAGAGCAAAGGGTCATCTTTCAGAAGTCATTGCTAGTTCTACCTGGAGGGGCACTAGCATTAAGAAGGGGGCTGGAATTCTCTGCCCCCACTCCCGAATTTATTCGTGAAGTGGGGTCCTGGGTGCTCTCTGCGCTTGGTGGCTTTCTGGCAGACGTTTCATGACCCAACTAGGGAACATCATCAGTGCTAGGGGTTTTGCAGAGAGGAGGAGGAGGAGGAGGAGGAGGAGGAGGAGGAGGACGACGACGACGACGACGACGACGACTGTGGGGTCCCCGGTGCTCTCCGAGCTTGGTTGTTTCCTTGCAGACATTTCATGACCCATCTAGGGAACATCATCAGTGCTAGAAGCGAGGGGGGTTGTGGAAAGGAGAAGGAGAAAGAGGAGAAGATCTGTGGGATTCCTGGTGCTCCCTGAGCTTGGCTGTTTTCTTGCAGACGTTTCATGACCCAGCTAGGGAACACCATCAGTGCTATGTAGCTCAACCCCACCAGCTCATTCAAGGTTTTCATCAAGCAAGGATTGGAAGTTAAGTTTCCCAGCGCTGCCCATAGGACAATCTTCTCTAATACGTATGCAGATGACCAAAGAAACAACCGATCCTATGCCCATTGCTGGTCCCTTCCAACTGTCCCCGGTCCCTGCAGAATGCCAGATCCTGCATCTTTTGCCATCCTCGGCTAGCCATCTCTGCTCACCGTACTCGCAGTTGCGCCCGCTAAATCCTTCCGGGCAGAGGCACTCGTATTCATCCGGTTCCTTGTTGGCACAGGTGCCCCCGTTCTGGCACGGACGGTGTGATCCACAATAATTCAGATCTGAGCAAGAAGGAAAAAGAGGGAAGGATGTTTAGGATCGGGTCCAAGGCTGGGGAAAAAAAACAAGCATGCCAAGCTGGCGCCCTCTAGTGGTCAGGATGTGAACTTTCATCCTCCTTGATCAAGCTGGCCAGCTGGGGGGGGGGTCACCTCTTGAGCGGAAGGAGGGGAAGAGGAACGAAAATGAGTTGGGGGGTCTTTTGCTCCTCCCAATGATCATAAGTACGAAAAACCATCATAGGTCACTTTTTTCAGGGCCGTGGTAACTTTGAACGGTCACTAAATGCGTTGTAAGTTGAGGACCGCCTGTAGAAAGAACGGCCAAGAATTTTTGCTCCGAGCTGCGTCTTGGGAGAGGGGCTCCGCTGCCCCCTTTCTTCCCGTCTCAAAGCAAGGACCCCCTGAGCAGGACCGAGGCGGGGCTCACCCTTGTCGCACAAAAGGCCACCCCAGTTGGTCTCGCAATCGCACTTCCAGGGCAGGGTGCAGCTTCCGTGGACGCAGCCGGGAAAGAGAAGGCATCGGTCGCAGTGGGGGCCCGTCCAGCCGTAATGGCACCTGAGAGGGGAAGGGTGGTTACTGCACAACGAAGGGCCTTGAAATTGAGGAGGGGGAGTGGCTATCTCAGGCCTGCCCCAATCTGATCCCTTCGCACAGGGGTCCCCAACCCTCGGGCCGTGGATCAGCACCGGTCCATGCAAACAAGCGAAGCCCCATCTGTGGGATGGAGACAGCACGTGAAACCACTCCCCCCCCTCTAGTCCACGAAAAACCTCTCTCCACGGAACCGGTCCCTGGTGCCCAAAAGGTTGGGGGTCTTTGTTTTAGGACCCTCGACTCCACTGGGTTGAAAAGAAAGGTTCTTTTACTAAGGATGTTGGCTGCAGTAAAGTCCGGCTAGATCTGGATTTCCCGCACGCAAAAGACACAGAAAGGTTTCTCCCCCCTCCCGCTGACCTGTCTGTCTTCAATCCATTGGAACTCACCCAGATGTTTTTAGAATGCCGGGATGTTTTGGCTAACCGACATTCTTTCCCAGGGTGATTCTAAACCCCCCTCCCCTTCCTAGCCTTTGATGAGCAGGATGCCCGCGAGGCGCCAAGCTGGACCTGGCAGACAGACCCGACAGGTGACTTAGGGAGCGGGCTTGAGTCCAGGAGAGGAAAGTCCTGGCTTGCTGGGAGGCTAACGGGTCGGGGCCATTCCCCACCTGCTTCCTTCTCACCTGCACTCGCCAGGTTCCTCGCAAAACCCATGCGTTCTGTGGCACCCCTGACGACAAACCGCTGCAAAAACACCACAAGAAGAGGATTGAAACATGAGGCGAGGCTCCGGACCGGGTCTTAAGCTGCTGCAAGGACATGACTGCCCCCTTCTTTGGGGGGATACCAGAACGATCATTTAGGTGGGTATGGGGGTTAGTAACCTGGCCTATCCCGAAGGGCTGGCCAAGAGGGAGTGAAAGGGAGGAGATTCGGCCTACGGATTTGCACCCATGGGGAACATCCTTGTTTTGGTGTTTGAAAGAAAGACTGAAAGGACACAGGGAGGGGGTCACTCCAGGCTGGAGACCCCCACAGGACAATTCCTTTTGCATCGCTAGGTGTATGTGGAGAAGGGAAGGGGGCCTGGTCTACCTGGCTACAGGTAAGACCGGGGTTAAGGAAGGAGGGCCGGGCCTCAGGTGCTCGCTTGTTTTTGAGGTGGAATATCAGCTTCCAGCATCTCAGGAATGGCAGGACTTAGGGACATCCCCCAGACGGGTGTCAAAAAAAAAGTCAAGATGGCAGCTGGAAATAGGTGATGGAAGCCCCGCCCCTTTTTAATGCACAGGTGACACACAGAAATACAGGTGGAGTTTGGGGACGCCGTTATGCCCAACAATCTGGTCTATTTGTCTGCTTCCCACCCCAGAAAAATGTCCCTAATCTTTTAGCTTGCGTCCATCTTGATTTTTTTGAACTCCCCCCCCACCCAAGGCACCTCCTAGTGGGGGGAAATTGGGGCAGGATAACCCCGCTGTGGGAGGAGCAGCAGGGCAATGGGGCAGCCTGTCCTTTTCTAGACCCTTCTTCCTCGCCCTGCCCCGCGCCCGCCCGCCAGCCTCGGACATACCCCGCTGGCACTTGTTTCCCGTCCAGCCGTCCAGACAGACCTTGTTCCCGGCCGCGTCGCAGCTGTGGTGCCCGAAGAAGTCGTCACGGGGCCTGCAGAGCAGGTTGCACGAGGGCCCGTAGTAGTGCTCGTGGCAGTGCACTCGCAGCCGGTACTCCAGCAGGGCGCTGCGCCCAGGATGCCGTAAATCCTGCCAGCCTTCACCTGGGTTCACCATGCCCGAACGGCTCACCTGCTCGATCAGCTGCCCTGAGCCTGATGAGGAAGGGGGGAAGGGAAGGGTGGGTGGTCCTGTCCTCAATCACAGCCCACATCTGGTGGGAGGCACAAAGCGCAAAGAGCCAGCAGCCCCAGGAGAAAAAAAGCAGGAGACGGCAACGACATACAGGATAAGGACCGCAACAGACACTCTGTAGGACCAAGAGGCAGAAGGCTGGCAGAACGCGTCCACGAACACCAACTAGCAGTCGGGAGATGGGATGAAAAAAAACTTAATTGCACAACACGTGGACAGACTTAACCATGGTTTCAAGTGGGAAACCGTGAGCATCCTAGATTTAAAAACTCTAGAGAATTCCTGGCAGGTTTGCACTCAGATAAATCAGCCATCGACAGGCACCTAGAGATAAACAACATTTACCCGCCCTTCGATAAAAAAAGAAACAAAAAGGTAATCCAAAAGGCAAAAAGAGCATAATGCCTCCTCGCCAGCAATCACCGCCCAGTTAAGCAGAAGTTAACACTGAGATTAACCGTAAGCCGATAACCGTAAGCCGACAATCGATAAGTAAACAATCAAGGAATGATCAACTCAGACAAACAAGCTATCGGTCAACCACAGCCTAATCAAGCAACCACTGAGAAAATTCCCACCAACACTGACAAGGCAAGCCATTTCTATGAAAAACAGAGAGCGAAATCCTTCTGGAACTGATGATGTTACATAGTTGGGTCATGAAACATCTGCAAAACCACCATATCCAGAGAGCACCAAGGACCCCTCCAAGAACAACTTCTCTTCCTCTTCCTCTCCACAGACTGCACTCGCCACTCCCTGCTGACGTTGTCTACTTGGGTCATGAATCGTCTGTAAAAGCACCATGCTCAGAACGCACCAAGGACAGCACAGGTACAAAACTGACATATTTAATCCAGTTCAAAAAATTCATCAACGGTCCGAAATTTGGAAGTTGGCTATCATCGATGTTGACGGTGGCAAGAGTTTTTTATATGTGCAAAAATGGAAAGAGTCGTCCACTCCCACAGTGGAAGAATAGATGGAAAAAGGGATGGCAGAGAGGGCAAAGTTAATTGTTTAATTAAAGAGAAGGACTTATCTAGTTTTGTTTCCATTTGGAAATCGCTTCTGGACTTTACGCTTGAAACAGAAAACAAAATTAAAATTTGATTTTAGGTTTTGGTGGACTAGATTAACTTGGTTGTTATAGAAAGGGCTTGTATCTACAGCACAAAACTGGGGTTGGATGTGTATTTTGTATTTTGTATGTGTACTACATTGAACAGAGTCAAAAATTGCTGCATTTTTTTCTCCGTTTCTTCTTATCTTGCGCCCCTTTCCATCTGTATTATAAACTCTACTAAAAAAAAACAACAACCATTATCAACAGTCCCAAGCATTTTGTTCATCCTTGAGTGCCCTGGACAGAGCTGGAAAGGAGCATAAGTTACTAGTCCACAGCAAGGCTGGCCCACTGCCTGCCACTGCAACAGGGGTGAAAAATTAAACCCATTTACCCTCCCACCCAATACCCCTGCAGGTGTCACTGCCCCGCCTCTGGAAATCCACAAACGAGCCCTCTCTTCCTGCTTATTCCTGGCAACTGCTACTTAGAGGTAGACTGCCTCTCTCCATGGAAGTTCCAGTTTTTACAGGCCAGAGGCTAGTGACTAGTTCAAGGCTCGGCGATCAGGAATGTAGCCGAAAGGAGACTCAAAAGCCCAGAGGTAGGGCATTATTTTCTTTCAATCTTTCCTACACAGTTAACAACTAGCTTAGCCACTTCTCAATTTAAAAAAAAAAAAAAAAGGCACGCCGAACGGCAATCCGAATGGCTGCGGGCGCGAATTTTGCCACCTGCTCTGCTCTTTCGCCTCGATCCCGGCACCCAGGGGAGGCACGTACAGGTTCAAGAAGTGCAACACAAAATCCAGGTGTGTCCGAATGCCCCACTCCTTTCTACCTTGCACCCACCACCTGTATGCAGCAAGGGAGAAAAAGGACTCCTTACCTGGGCTGGTGACGTCACTGGCATTGGCAGCATCCCAGGCCTCCAGAACCAGCGAGTACGAGCGCTAGAAGGGACAAGGCAGAAGCTCACCAAAGCGTCCCCCGCCTGAACCTCTGGAAACGTATTTTTAACCACACACACCCTCCACTCTCCCAGCTGTGCTCAGTTCTAGGCAAACCTACTGAATGAGAATGAAATCCCTTTTTTACCGTATCGAAGCTGTACCTCCGCTGAGCTGAATTGGGATGCAGAAAAACCAATTAATTGAGTAATAATAATAATGCATAAAAGTAGAGTGGTTGTGGCAAAAGATAAGCAAAGAGAGTGGAAGGTGCCTTGGGTGTAATCCCAAAACATCTGGAAGCACCCACTAAGGGCAGGTCAGTCAGCTGGGTCTGTTAAGGTCCCACAAAGCACCCCCCAAATGCCACAGACCACTGTTTCCCAACCTTGGCGACTTCGAGTTGGATGGACTTCAATTCCCAGAATTCCCCAGCCAGCCAGCCAGGGAATTCTGGGAATTGAAGTCCCCACGTCTTATAAGTTGCCAAGGTTGAAAAACACTATCAGAGACCCTCATCCACAGCCAAAGGGGAGGGAAGACGGGTAAGTAGTATGAGTTCAGCCTACATGGCATCCTTTAGATGCCTACAACTACAAAACCCATCCCTGCTAAAGGCTAAACTGGATAAGGATGGGGGGATGCCGAGCATCAAAACTGGAAACCACCAAAAGGTAGGCCAGGAAGGCTGATGAATTCGTTTCACACAACCTGCAGCTCTGGAGGCATCTTTTGAACCCTCCAGACCCTGATTCTCTGCTTGTTTGCTGCTCTGACTAAACCAGTTTGCCCCATTCACCCAGTTATCCAGGCGTTGTGCAACTCTCCGACCCACAAGCTAACCACGTCGGTTGTGTTGGCCCGGCCCCACCGAGCCAGCCAAACTTTTCTTAGCACGTGGCCGGTGCTGCTCTGTTTTCCTATTGGTTGAGACGATGCTCCAAAAAAAGGCAAGGTCTCGCTGCCATAAGAATTTCCCACAATGCCCCAGGGCTGGGTTTCCTCCGAGCATTGTGGGACATCCAATGGGTGGGCAGCCATCTTGGGCTGCTCAGAACCTACAAAGGTCCAGTTTGGAAGGCAGCTTGAGATGTCAAACGGCAGCTGGGTTACCTCCAGATATCTTTTATTTATTCGTTAAATTTATTTATTAAATTTATACGCCAGCTATCTCGTTCTGCCCTGGATCTGAGGGTGCAGATGGCACAGAAAGATACATTCACCCAAAACAAGGATCTTGAGTGTCTCCCGAACAGCCGCTACCCTTGGCTGACGTTCCCTTGGGGAGAGGGGAAGGCATTTCAGAACAGCCCCAAAGGTCAGCGGTCATCCAGGCTCAATGACCTTTCCCAGGACCTGCAGCCAGAAACCTAGTAGCTGTTGCTCAGTTTGTAAGGCAGCCTCCCAGAACTGAAGCAGCTCTGCTTCGTAAGAAAACGCACGTCTCCAACCCATCCTTCAGATGTGAATTGGTGGGTTTAATACAGGTGAGTTGTTTAAAAGAAAAATCAGATTTTTTTTCCTTTAAAGATGCTTTGTCTTCTCCTTCTGACATCCTCAAGTGGGCAGAAACTCGATCAGAATAGAGCTGGGAGGGAACTTAGAGGTCTTCTAGTCCAACCCCCTGTTCAAGCAGGAGATCCTATACCATTTCTGACAAATGGCTGTCCAGTCTCTTCTTAAAAGCCTCCAGTGATGGAGCACCCACAACTTCTGGAGGGAAGCCAGGTTGTCTTCACTGTCAGGAAGTTTCTCCTTAGTTCCAGGTTGCTTCTCTCCTTAAAATTTTTTCCATCCGTTGCTTCTCGTCCTGCCCTCTGGTGCTTTGGAGAATAACGTGACCCCCTTCTTCTTTGTGGCAGCCCCTCAAATACTGGAATACTGCTATCGCGTCACCCCAAGTCCTTCTCTTCTCTCTCCCCTCTGTTGTTTATCTCCCCCCCCCACCCCAAATCTAGCACTGCACAAAACTGATTTAAGCACACATTACTCCAATTTGGTGGGCGAGACATTTGGAAACCGGTTCAGATCTGCAATCCGGTCTTTTCCGAACCTGAACGGGAAACTGAGCAAATCGGCAAGAAATCCGGGATTAACCTCTGTGGAAAAAAAGCAAGCTGCCAAATGCAGAGCCCGTTTGGGATCGAGGAGGAAGAGATGGAAAGAGGATGGAAATGAGGTTTAAATGGGGGTCTTCCTGCAGAACGAGACCCAGATGCTCTGGCACAGAAGCTGGGGGAAGGGGATTGTGGGGTGTGTGTGCGGGAACTGGGGTGTATTGTGTCACCTTTTTCCCGTGGGCAAACCAGAACAGATTTTGAATCTTGCTCGAGTGATAAATCGGATGAAGCAGTCCCTGCATAAAAGCGGCTGCAATATTAATTTCTTCTCCGTTGATTTTCCCAATCTGTGCATCTTTTTCCAGTCCAGGGGTAGGCAACCTTGGCTCTTTTATGACTCGTGGGCTTCAACTCCCAGAATTCCTGAGCCAGCCAAGCTGGCTCAGGAATTCTGGGAGTTGAAGTCCACGAGTCATAAAAGAGCCAAGGTTGCCTACCCCTGGTTCTAATCCAGGGTTTCTCAATCTCAGCAATGTTGGGGTTTTGGGGGATGCAGCTTTACAGGTAATTCCCGACTTACGACCACAGTTAGAACCAGAATTGCCACTGCTAAGCCAGTTGGTTGTTAAGTGAGTCACACCGTCTTCCAGGTTTCAGAGAGACGCCTTCCTCGACTTGCAAAATGTTCGTTTAGTGACCAGTGTCACGACGTCACTGAAAAACGTGACTTATGAACGGATCCTCGCCTAGATTCGCCTAACAGCCACGTTACTAACTGAACAACCGCAGTAAGGAAAGTCTTAAAAGTCACTTCGCAACTGTCTCGCTTAGCAACGGAAAGTCTGGGCTCCGCTGTGATCGTAAGCCGAGGACTGCCTGTAATCGTGGCAGGTTTATAGTCCTGGGGGTTGCCAGACCTAGAGTTGTGAGAATCTTATAGTTAACTCTCCTGCAGCCCCCCCCCCCCACAAAAAAGGAGAACAAAAAGAAAAAAGCATCTTACCGGCCAGGCAAAGTCGAAAGGGATCACCACGGTCCCAGCCCGGTCCGAGGGCTTCTGGAGGAGGGCCGAGAAGAGGTTGCCCCCCAAAACAGGGGTGGTGGCAGCCCCCAGCACGCAAGGCCCCCCTGGGTGTGCCCGCAGCTGGTACTCCTTGAGGCAGACCCGGAAGAAGGTGTGGCAAGGCTCGGCCACGGGGCATGGCGGCTCCCGCCCACCCCGGCAGCATCGTCCGTCCGCCAGGACACCCTTCTCGTTCCGGGCCAAGCGGACCTGCAGTTCAAAGACACCCATGGCCTCCGAGACCTGAAAGGGGCAGAGACAGGGATGAGCTGCGGAGCGACGTGAGTCTGAGAGAGGTGAGGAAGAAGGAGAAGGAGAAGGAGAAGGGGGAGAAGGAGAAGAAGGAGAAGAAAGAGAAGAAGAAGAAGAAGAAGAAGAAGAAGAAGAAGAAGAAGAAGAAGAAGAAGAAGAAGAAGAAGAAGAAGAAGAAGAAGAAGAAGAAGAAGAAGAAGAAGAAGAAGAAGAAGAAATAGATAGAGGGGGATCCCCATCTCCAACCTGGCGCCGCTTCTCCCCCCCCCAAACTCAGCCCCGGCGTGCTCATAATGAGGGGGTGCCCCCTTCTTTTTAGGAAAGAGGCACGGCTCACTTCCGCCTCACCACGATGGTGGGGAATGCATTCTAGTTATTAAATGTGTTTATTTGTGAATTAAATGTATTTATGTATTGAACCGATGGATTAAATTTATTTAATAAATGTATAGGTTGCCCATTTCACAAACAAGTGGCTTACGACGTCATCAATAGGAGGGTAAAACAATTAGAAGGTTAAAAGCAATAAAGCAATTAGGCAGGAAACAATTAGAATATTGAAGTCAGCTGAAGCCTTCCAGTGGCTTCTTGCCCAGAGTTTATTTATTGAATGATTGACTGATTTATTAAATGATTGACTGATTGATTGCTAAGATTTTTATGCTGCTCCCTTCCCAAACTGACTCAGAACAGCACGTAAGGAAAAATACTTAAAAACAAACACAGTAAAAAACCCATTTCTCCTTCTGAGTCCCCCTGAATGGCCAGCCTCCACTGTCAGAGTAACAGTAGAAAGAGTGCCCCTGAACATAGGCAGAGTGCTTTGGCCTACCTTTAGCCACAAGTGTATAATGAGTGTTGTGAGTTTTTGGAGCACAGAGATCCTTATAGAGCCTTCTAGCCAAATTTGTTCTCATACAAACCTTTTCCTCTCATTTTAACACTCTTTGGCATTTCCAGGTGCAAATTCCACAGCAGCTTCAATTTACTGGCCTCATCCCTGGCAAGCAAACATAATCTCTTTGTACATGCTCAGAGGAATCAAGAGAGATGAGAGAAAGGAAAGCCAGAGGCTCAGATCCTCATGGAATGTTTGCTCTCAAAGCCTTTCATACTAGGATTCACGGCTTGTTGTACTTGGTTGCTGACAGGAAATGCACTCTCGGTATGCTCAGAGGGATCCTTGATGCTGTCTGTCTCTCTCTATTAAGGAAGGAAGGAAGGAAGGAAGGAAGGAAGGAAGGAAGGAAGGAGATGGGAAAGGGAGGCAGGAAGGAAAGAAAAGAGACAGAAAGAAAGAAAGAAAGAAAGAAAGAAAGAAAGAAAGAAAGAAAGAAAGAAAGAAAGAAAGAAAGAAAGAAAGAAAGAAAGAAAAAAGAAAAAAGAAGGGTGGGAGGAAGGAAGGAGAAAAAGGGAAGGAGGGAGAAGGGAACGAGGAGAAGAAGAAACAAAGAAAATGGAAAACAGAAGGAGAAAGTGAATGACAGAGAAGAAGAGAGAAGGGAATTAAAGAGAAAAAGAAGGAAAAAAAACGCAAGCAACTGCTGGCTTGGGGAATTCTGGGAGTTGAAGTCCACAGGTCTTAGAGTGGTCTAGGTTGGACACCCCTACTTTAAACCCCCCTTTTGAAGCTCTCCCAGGGCTTGAATGTCAGGGTCCGGTGCCACCTTGTCTCCTGAGGAGGGTGGCTCTTCACCCCCTATATCTGGAAAGACAGCTGTTGCTGGGTGGGGCACATCAGCTGCCGAAGGGGGCCCCCCCACTGCCACTTGCTTGCCTGCACTGAGAAACTAAGCGAGGGCCACACCTTGCTCGTCCCCCCAGGGAGAGAGATGGGGAGGTCTCTGGAGTTTCAGTAGGGCTGCTTCGGTGGAGGTGGGGAGGAAACTGGGCCTCTAGGGGCCCCTGTTTAGGGGGGGTCTAGGGAGGGGCCCCTGGGGAAAAAGACCCCCTCTCTCTGCAGCCTGCAAGGCAGGAGGGGCCGCATCCCAGCCGGGCCAACCTGCACCTCCGCACCAGGTTCCCAGCCTCGCAGCTGTTAAATAACGAGAAGTCCCAAGAGGGTCCTCTAAAGTTTAGGGTTGATCTTGGGGGGCCAGCAATGGCTTTGCACTGAAAGAGCGGCAAGATCTGAATCAAATGTAATTAAAAACGGAATCTTTCCCGAGCCAGAGCAAAGAAAACCCGGGCAGCTCCCAGGCAGCCCGCCGGGGCGACCCCGAGCTACTCAGCGGCCGCATTCACACGTAACGCGGGTCCCGCATTGAATCCCAAATCCCCACGTCCAAGGGGGATTTCCCATCGCTTGACGGGAAAGTCCGAACTCAGCGAACTCCGGACCGGCTTCCCGCAAACGGCTGGCCCTCTTTTAGCCTGGCCTCCCCCGCCCCCCCAAACAAACCAGGGTTCCAGAGGGGCTTCTGAGAAGCTAGGTGGGGAGGGGTCGGCGGGAGAAGAAGGGAACTCTTCCGCCCCCCCCCCGCTTCGACTCTCTCTTAGCTTTCTTTTGCGGAGTAAACGAGTAGCAGTTAAACTCGCGTGTAAACGAAGCCAGAAACGGCACCGGGCGAAGTTCCTGCTGGGGAGGCTCTCCGGGTCTGCAAAGCGTCGCCCGCGGGCGCCCCGGCTGCGCCGCGCATCCCCCGGCCGCAGAGACCCAGCGCCTTCGGGGTGCGCTGCCTCGGGCCGGCGGGCCGTGGACCATGGGGCCGGGAGTCCTCCCCAACCCAGCCCGGACGGACGGAGGGTCGCTCTCACCTGGAGCCGCACCTGGAGCAGCAGGAGCAGCAGCCCCGGGGCGCAGCGCAGCGGGCCGGGCGGGCCCAGCCTCATGGTGGTGGTGGCGGGGGTGAGCCCTCTTGCCCGGGGCCGGCGAGGCAGCCCTCCTGGGCCGCCCGATCGCGGGGCATAAAGCGGCGGCGGCGGCTCGACGGGACNCCCCCCCCCAGCCACGCCCGGCCCGGCCCACCCCACCCCGCCCCGCCCGGCCCGGGGCACGTGCGGGGGCCGCCGGCCTCTCCCTGCTTGGCAGGCTGCTGGGGACGGGGGTGGGGGGGTGCGACGACAACGCCCATCGTCCCCCGCCGGCGGACCGGGGTTAGGGGGAGGTGGGGGGCGCTCGGAGGGGGACTGCGTTCGTCCGAGGGGGGGCAGGGGCCGGGCTGGGCTCTGCTGGGTGCCAGAGGAAGCCCGGCAGAGCCCCCCCCCCTACTTCTTGGGGGACCCCTGGACCACCCCCCCCAGCTCCATTCCACTCCAGGCAGTCCAAGGAACACCTGGTGGCTTCACCAAGGTCTAGTCCTCAACTTACGACCGCAATGGAGCCCAACCCTAACTCTTGCTGGGGGAGAAATTTGGTAAGGGGGTTTTGCCCCATTTTGCGACCTTTCTCGCCACATTTGTGAAGTGAATGGCTGTGAAGTGATCAGTCAGTAAGCCGGTTGTTAAGTGAATCTGGCTTTCCCCCATTGACTTTGCTGGTCAGAAGGTTGCAAAAGGGGGATCAAAGGACCCGTCACAAATATGAATCCGTTGCCAAGTGTCTGATGGTTGATCACGTGACCCCAGAGACGCTGCAAGGGTTGTAAGTGTGAAAAAGGGCACTAACTTCCTTTTTCAGTGCCGTTGTAAAAAAGAACCATTTGTTGGCTGTAACAATCAATCAGTAAACGGTTACAGAGGACTACATGTGGTCCACCGTGACTCTTTATCGGGGTGGACTACATGTCCTTGGAGGCCCCCTCTCGCCCTAACTTCAAGACCTGACCGAGTCCTTCAAACAGCCCCCCCCTTTTGAATAGCTTCTCAGTTCCACAGCCTTTAGCATCTCTCTGAGGTTACTGCTTGACTTAACCACAACGGAGAGTGGAATTTTGGTCGCTAAGCAATGCAGTTGTTAAATGAATCATCCCGTGACCAGACCTGATTCCTGCAGGCAGTTTGACCGCAGCTGTTAAGTGAGTCACACAGTCCTTAAACGAATCCAGCTTCTGCACTTGACTTTGCTGGTTGGAAATCTGGCTGGGAAAGTTGCGTGTCACAATCGCGCAACCGCAAGAAGCTGCAGCCATCACGATTGCTGGTTGACAAGTGCCTGAATTGTGATCCCACGACCAGAGGAGCAATGCGACGGTCGAAACTTCGAGGACAGGTCATAAGTCACTTTTTTCAAAACCTCACAACTTCGAACCATCATTAAATGGTTGACAGTCGAGGACCCCCTGACTTTTTTTTAAAAAGACCCCTTTAATGTGTCCTAGACCGGGGCTCCCCAAACCCCAGTCCGTGAACCAGTACCGGGCCCCCAGCATGCCAGCAACCGGTCCACACAAACAAGCAAAGCCGCATCCGAGGGATGCAGGCACCACACAAAACCACACACCCTCCGGTCCGTGGAAAAACCTCTCTCCACAGAACTGGTGGTCCCTGGTGCCGGTGGTCGGTGGTCCCTCCTGTCCTAAACTGTTTAAAAAAAAACAACTGAAAAGTTTTGTGGCAAAAAAAAAGGCAAAGTGTGATGGTTCAATTATCTTTGGAAATTTGGAGCACATTCTCCCGAAAAGAGCTCTGGATGAAAATTAACACCAGCCATCCTCCAGCTTTTTTCTTTTTTCTTCCTTCCTTCCTTCCTTCCTTCCTTCCTTCCTTCCTTCCTTCCTTCCTTCCTTCCTTCCTTTCTTCCTTTCTTTCTTTCTTTCTCTTCCTTTCTCTTCTTTCTTTTTCTTTTTCTTTCTCTTTCTCCTTCCTTCCTTCTTCCTTTCTCCTTTCTTTCTTTCTTTCTTTCTTTCTTTTCTTGGAAATTAGAAAAAAATAATAAAGGAAATTCTAGATATATGTTGTGGTTGGGAGATGCCTGGTCCCCTGGCCGTGGAGAAAAAAAGTGAGTCCATTGTCATCTTATAAAGAGAGAGTAGTTCAACCCAAGGGGGCCAATGCCCCCCTTCTTAAAGACATTCCCCCCCAGGACCAGCCCTTCTCTGTTTGTTTAAGGCTCACCAGGCAGCCTGGCCTTTGCTAGGTCTGCTCTGCTTTCAGCAGCCCTCATAAAGCCCCTTTGTAACTTAGGATGGATATAGGAGGCGGGTGGGACTCAATGGGGCTTTGCCTCTGGGAAAAGAAGAGAGTCCCCCCCAAAAAAACAAAGAGGTTTTTTTTTTAAGCCCCCCACCCCACCCTCTCGAGATGGAATTAACTCTTAGCTGGCTGGGAATCCCAGTCAGCCGTTTCTGGAGAGGGAAGAAAAGGGCAGGCAGGGATGGGGCAAAAACTCGACTTTCTCCTCCTTAAAACTCTCTGCTCCGAAGGGAGGAAGGGAGAAAGTGCCCCGTAGCGTGGGAAGGTTTTCCAAGCGAAAATTGGTGTGGGGAGGGGAGAGGGGGAACGGGTTGGCATGTCCCTGAGAAAAAAATCCGGGCTGGGAAACCAGTTCCACCAGAGATGCGTCTCCAGGCAGATGATGCTGGAGTGAGATTTCTGGAACAGGAGGAGGAGGAGGAGAGGACCATGGAGGAATTCCCGTCCACACCTGCCCGAAAGGAAAGGGGGGACCAAAAGGAGCAGAAATCGACCCCATTGGGGGCTTGGTGGGAGCCCCCTTCCCTGCCAAGGGGGGGGGGTGTCAAGGTTGCTGCCCTGCTCTTTTGGCAGAGAAAGGAGTGATGTCCTTGGCGCTTGCCAACGGTAACCCCCACACACCCACACCCCCTCCGTGCCATCCCAGCGGCTCAGGAATAAACAAGGCTCCAGCCTGCAGCTAAATGATGCTGCGGATCCGAGCAAAAACATTCTGGGAATCTGCCTGGGCAAGTTGATCCGTTTCTCCCCCCCCCAAAAAAAAGTTTAATCTAGTTTTCACTCCGATCTAAGCCTGTTTTTTCACGTCCCCTTTTGTTGTGGTGGCAAACACTTCCTTCCTCTATGGAGGCATCCTTCTGGGCTGCCCCCTCCCCTGAAAAGGGGAGGGGGGAGCACCAAATATTTGCCTGCACAGGTAGTCCTTGTCTTATGACAACTGAGCCCAAACTTTTTGTTGTTAATTATTTGTTAAGTGAGCTTTGCCCAATTTTATAACCACAGTTGTTAACTGCAGTTGCTAAGTTAGTAACTCGGTTGTTAAGTGAATCAGGCTTCTCTATTCACTTAGTCAGAAGGTCGCAAAAGGGGATTGCGTGACCTTGGCACTCAGCAACGGTCGTTAAGTATGGACCATCACATGATCATGGGAATGCTGCAAAGGTTGTAATTTGAGAAAAAATGGACGTAAGTCACTATTTTTCAGTGCCGTTGTAATTTTCAACCGGTCACTAAATGGACTGTTGTTAAGTCGAGGACTGGCTGTATCTTCCAGTTTTCTCCTTCTTGAAATGTTTTTCTCCCCCTTTTTATTCAAATTAGTACTCTTAGATACCCTCAAAGTCTTGGGCCAACTACACTGAATTTCATTGCAGGTTTTGGTTCCCCGCCCACCTTTTATACAGCCACTCCTGGTTTAGTGACAGCCTCATTTAGTGACCGACAACTGCAACGGTGGTGAAAAAGTAACTTTGCGACCAATCCTTGCATTTAGAACCTTTCAGAGTCTGCAGAGTGAAGGAAAGCTGAAGTCGGATCATAAGCTCAGTCACGTTGCCCCTACCAATTGCTTTGCTTAACGACGGAGTTCCTGGTCCCCATTATGGTCAGTAAATGAGGACTGAGGCAGCAAAGGGACTAGTATTTTTGGGTTAGGTAAGGTGGCAAGTCTTTTTTTTTACCAGAAGGTGGCAGTGTTTCCACCAGCTCTTTCCACTCCCATTGGCAGCTCCGATGCTCCGCCCAGAACTCTCCACCAATCAACATTTTGGCAGACTCCACTAAGAACTCTGGGAATTGCAGTTCAACCTGCATGCCAGGTACACAGAAATCCCATTATAGGACCTAGCTTAGAAATAAGCAGTGATCTAAGACTGGAGTCACACAGAACTCCAAGCCACAGCATTCTGGGAGTTGAAGTCCGCCCATCTCCAAGCAGCCAAGAGGATTGAATCTCTTGGAAGCGAGAAAGAAAGTTTGATACCAAGCTGGTCAATCTTTCAATAGTTATTTTATTTTAACATCTCTGGTTTAATTACAGACAGTAAAATAGCTCAGTAGGTAGGAGGGCGAGTGGCAAAGAAATCCTGCATGTTTATAAAAACCCTCCAGAGTCAGCATGGGGGAAAAAAATAATACAACACCAAAGTGCTTGTCGTCTATTCGCTTGCTTCTCTTCTCAGCCACAAAAAAAATAATAATAAAATAAGCCGAAAGGACTACAACTCCAGGGCAAGAGTGAGCAGGGGTAGGGTAG